CAGCCTGTCCTCACAGCAGAGCTGCTCCTCCACCTGCATTCTGCCCCAAGATGGTCAGCACCAGGTACTTCCAGGTGATCAGACGTTGCTTTGTGCCTCACAGCCACATCTGAAGTCCTGATGGATCTGCTGCTGAGAAGTTGAACCTGTTTCCAGCCGCCGGTTGATGAATGTGAACTTGAGAGTAGAATTAGTTGCTCCCACCGCCAGCCCAATCTGCATCTCCGAGCAGATGTTAATTCTACAACGAAGCTGAACATCCCAGAATCCCCTCAACTGGAAAAGACCTCCAAGATCATCATGTTCAAGATGAAAGATCTCAGGGTGACAGTGGCACAGCCCTGGCCCCTCTCTCTGAGCAAACCTTGCACAGCTTCCACAGTGACAAACTGAGGGGCTTTCCCGACAGCAGCTTGGAAATTCCACCTTTATCAACCCAAATGCTTCTCAGAGAACAAGAAAACCAAGGACACATCCAAGGAAATCAGTCCATCCTGAGCTGCTGTGCCTGCAGCAGCACGTGGCGCTTGAAGGCCAGACCTCCTTGAGAAAGGATCTACAGGAGGAAAGGGAATGACTGAATGAGGGATCAGCAGCTCTTCTCCCAGGTCTGTCTGTGGATGGGACAAGCCACTCTCCCAGCTCCAAGGGCTCCACAAGGACTACATTCAGCTCACAAAGCCCAGCAAGTGATTGAACCCAAACCTCATTGTCAGAAGAGGATGATTCTACTTGACATGGGAAGGCCCAAAGCAGCGTGTGCTGATACCACCTCAGCTCCTGTGACATCCCCAATCCTGTCACCTGCAAGTGCCATGACACTCTGCAATCATCACACATCTGAACTCCTGATGGATGAGTGAGGAGCTGCACAACTGCTGGGCTCCTCCAAGGCAGTGGAGACCCCAAAGCATGGCCACGGGTTGTCCTTTAGGTCACACCTGTACCGGAGGATGTGACCAGAGATATCTCCCCAGCAGTGAAGGCACCATCCCACCCTTCCCCAAAGAGCAGAAGGGGAGCTGCTGTACCTTTGAGTGTTGCAACTCATGCTCCAAGCACCCACCTTACCCCTGCAGGAAGAGTTTGGTGGTGAGAGTCCTCCCTCGCTGCAAGAGAGTGTAGAAAGATCTCCAAATGCAATCCCACACGTGCTCTTCTGGACTCTGAATTCCCCAACCTGCATCTTCACATCTACCAGAAAAGAAGCTGTTCCAGGAGGACACAACCTCCCAGCTCACTGTGACCAGGCGGTGCTCCAGTCAGACTAGGTGGGAGGTGCTGGTGTCACTCGGATATAGAGATCTACCACTTGACTTGCCATCTGGAAGAAGATGACCAGCAGAGAAGACCACCTGGGAAGAAGACACGAGTCCCCAAACCCAGATTCCATCTCTCCCAAGGAGAGCACATAACCCCATCACAGCAGACCCTCAATCATTCACACCACATACCAGCTCCTCCTTTATCTGATGGAAGAGAAAGACACTTTTGACCAGCTAAGCCTCAATTCCTGTCCTAATTTTGATGTCTTCTCTTTCTTTCCACCTCTTTTCTACCATAACTTTTCTGTGTCTATGTGCCACTGACCAGCCTCACAGGAGATGCTTCTAAGAAAGGCAAGCATCACCATGGGGACCCAGAAAAGAGCTCTGCTACCTTGCCTCTCTCCCCACATGACAATTAATCACATCTCCTCAACCTTATAATCCTCAGAACCTTCTACGGAGACCTCACTAACTCTTCAAAACTTCTTGAATCTCAGCAGCAAATATCCAAGATATTTGAGATGTCCTAGAGATGTTCAAGGACTTCTCAGACGTGTCTCATGACAGAAGCTAGCACTGACATGATGACCAGCTCTTAGGTCCAAGCCCACTTCCTCCCACGAGCTAGTTAAGCCTCAGATGGATGCACAGACAAGTCCAAAGGTGATTGTGAAGAAGGTTCTGGGACTACACTTCTCTCGTTACCCTAATTTAATCCTAATTTTACCTTTTGGGATTGTAGGACACTTCTCTTTCCATGAAACATAACAATCATCAAACAAATTTGATTCAGGAGGTTTCTCTCTACCTGCTGTCTGCAGATTTTAAGAAGGTGATCTGTTGGAAGATGAATAAACCAATTAAGAATGATTTGAAGATCTGGGCTCAAGAAATTAAAAAGAAAATAAACACCTAACAGACCCATTTCTTGCTGGTCTTTGTCCCCAAAGTAATTGTGAACATCAAACCCATGCTTGAGCCTCCATCTCCATGTAGAAGGGCTGGAGCTCAGCTAAGTTCTGCTGTCCACATCCTCCTGCTCTCTCTCTCCACAGGGACACGACCAATATTGGGCCAGATGGGATTTAATCATTTCAGTGCTGCCATGAAGCTCCATTCACCTTCTGTCACAGGAGTGAGGCTGTAAATAAGTCACTGCTAGAAGACCCAGGTCCCCATGTCAACCCTAAGAGCTTGATCTTTGATCCTCTGAGCAGACAGAGCCCACGACAATCTTCTCCTGCCCAGGAAAACCAGGAGAAGGTGCACCAGGACAACGAGATGAACTGAATGACCCAGAGCAAGACTCCGTGCCCTAAACTCAGCATCTTTCTCTGCTTCACGATATTTCTACAAGCCCAAAACTGACCTGGGAGAAGGAAAAGCCCCTTTTTTCCTCTGATGCACCCCATGGTACCCTCTTCCCCTTCCCATTATCCTCAAGGCTAAGCCCTACTGGCTTCATCTCGGCAGGAGGGAGGGGACAATGGCATTTTGCCACCACCCTGGTGACACTACTTTTTTGGGGGGGCTATGGAGAGAAGAAGGTTTTTTGGTACCTGATGGTCATTTAACAAGGCAAGAGATCAAAGCTTGAATTAATGAAAAGGGAAGGGGCAGGAGCTGTGCACATGCCATGGAGGAACTCATGAGAGCACGAACAGCTGGAAGCTCTCCTGGTAGATGTGGAAAAGGCACCTATTTTGCAAGCACAGGGAAGATGATGGAGCCAAAATTAGCAACCGAGTGACATGCGGATGCAATAATTCTGCTGCGGTTGAATTTTCAGCTGGGGCAGGTTTTGGATGTGTCAAACTGTTTGCCTTAGTTTAAGGGAAACACAGGACAGCAGGTGGCCATTCCCCACCATGATCCAAGAGAGTGAAGGCTTCAAGCTGGACTCTTTTGGGATCATGGGAAGGTGAGAGAAAAGGACCTAGAGCAACACGTGGAGTGGCCTCCTCGGAATCAGCACAACCGTGAGCTGCCGACGCTGAGCCGGGGTCCACCCGATAAGAGCAGAAGGGAGACAGGGTTCACCTCTACCAAATAACACACCCTTCGCCTTCCCCGGAGTGCTCACCTGGTCATCTGCTGGAAAAAGGACTTCTCAGCTGGCTGTGTCTCCCTGGGCAAAACCACGAGCGCTGAAGCTTGTGTGTCACCGGACTGCGGCAAAGGGCAGGGCTGGGCGGTTGCGCGGCTGGTCGCGGCAGAGACCCCGCTGCTGGGGGGACACGCGACAGGGGAAGGGAAATCAAACTGTTGAGGGTTAGTTGCAGCCACAAGGAAAGGGGTGGAGAAGGCCAAGGGCTGGCTGTCATGCAGGAAAGGAGGCTTGCCTAGCAGGTCCTCAGGGAGGTTAGTAGGTTGGAAGCTTTGCCCAAGAGCTTCCTGATGGAGGTTGGTGAAGCTGAAGCCTCCCTGATCAAACCTTTCGGGCAGCACAGCTTGAACAGGGATGGGATCTGGTGGTTTCTCCACAAAGGGATTGCTTGGGGTGTTTGGGCTGAGTGCTGGAGCAAAGGGGTTTCTTGGGGTTGAAGTGTCCTGCTCGTGCCTCTCTTCCACCCTATCTGGCTTCCAGAAATCAGCCTTCTTGAAGTCTATCCTGCTGTCTGCCGAGCATCGGCGCCACGGCCCCTCGGGCTCACTGGTGGGGGGTCTGCCCTGCTCTGCCTCCTGAGGAGGACCAGCCACTGTCACAGGGGCACAAGGCTCAGCCTGGCCTCCTGTTCGCCCAGCTGCTGGTCCATGCCACCCCTCACCATCACCCCATGCTGGCTCTGGCTGGGGTGGACTCTCCCCACATGCTAACCTTTGGGGTCGTGCTGCTGAGCTGAGACCCGCAGGGTGACCAGTTGCCTCTTGCTCTTCCAGAGCTGTCCAGTAGGTTTCTGGCTGGCTGGGATCTAGTTTGGAAGGTGGGTTTAGTCCTGATGTACTGAGCTCCTCAGGGAACGGCTCCTGTTTGGAGACCATCTCCCACTCGGCACCGTCTGCAGCACCTGGTTGGCTCCAGCTCTCCTCAGCATCCAACTGGCCTAACCCATCTAGGGAGAACTTCGATGGGCAAGTCTCAAACTGCTCAGCGGCATCTGCCTCATTCATCTCTGACTGCTCCTCCCTCAAAGAGGTGTCTCTTTTTGCCAGCTCATCAGCTTTCGCCTCCAAATTAGCTGCTGAGTCCCCAGTGGCAGATTCAGCATCCTCAGAAACTGGGAACTCACTCCCAGCTTCAGCTCCGTCCCCTCCCAGTGCGGGCGGACTGGGAGACGCTGGGACAGAGGGCACACTGCTCAGATGGCTCCTTGGCAGCTCCACATCTGCCTTTGGGTTCTCCACGTCTTCCCATTGTTCCTCGTTGCCTCGCTGTGGGTCACAAGCAGCATCTTCCTCGCTGTCCCCTCCACCACCCGCGGCTGCGAACCGACCCCCCTTGGAGTTTTGGGGGGTGGCACGGCTGAGCCGGCTGCCATCTCCTCCCTCTCTTGGGTACCTGTCCATGGAGAGAGGACAACGTGCCTCTCACGGATGTCAGAGCTGAGCTTCACACGGTTCTCACTGGCCTCGAGCTTCATGCTAGCCTGGAGCTGGTAGACTGAAGTCCGTATGTCAAAGGTGTCCTCCTCATTCCCAGCACGCTGGGGCTCTGTCCCTGGCTCTGAGGCCACGGGGAAGCGTCGTGCTGCCACATCTGCGAGCACCCGCGGGGGCACGGCTGCCACGTTGCTACCTGGCAAGGTTTCAGAGATGGGTTCAGGGGTGAAGGTGCTTCTGGGCAACACACAAGCGGCAGCACGAGATCCGCTCTTCGCTTCAAAGGTGCCTTCGCTGAGGAAGAGCAACGCGCTCTCCTGACCCACGCGCTCCTGCTCAGCCACGTTTTGGGTGCTCTCTGATGGGTCAGGAGCCGTTTCGGTGGCTATGGTCATCCATCCATTTGTCCCTGCACTAGAAGGTTCCTCCTCATTCCCATCTCCTTCCTCCCTATCACTATTTTCAGCAGTTAGTGGTGTGGAAACCTCTTTTTCCCCTGAATTTCCCGATGCAAAGGCTGCCGTCCAAACCGTGGGTGTGCTGCTCTTCCTCCTCCTTCCCATCGACCCCGCAGACACAGGGCTCAGCACATCCTCGATCACCGTCGCTTCCTGGGTTGTGCTCACCAAATTTGCCCCCACATCTAAACCAGAGAAATTTGTCCAAGAACGTAGAGTTGCAGACATTTCACTGCCCATTTGTGAATCAACCTTTTCAAATATCTTTGTCCCTTTCCCACCAGCCGGCTCGGTTGATCTCTCTGTCGGGCTGGCTGCATCAGGATCATCGATAAAAGCCATGCCCTCTGCTGCCACTGAAGCAAAGAAGTTCTCCTTCTTCAATTCTGGTTTGAGCCTGCTGGTTGCAAAGGCATCAAAGGTGTCATCCCACTCTGAGAGGGGAGGAGGGACAGCAGGTTTCTCATCTGGAGGAGGAAGGTCTCCTTGTGATGGAGGTGTTGTTTCTGGAACGGGGATGCCAATGCTTTTGGTTGGAGATTCCTTCTCTGGTTCTTTATGTCTTAGGGAGGCAGAGGGACTGTAATCCTCAGAGGAATATAAACTCCCAACGACCTCTGTTGAAGCATGTGGCCCAGACGGGAAACTAGAGAAAAAGTGAGTAGGTGAAGGAGAATTTAGTACCTGATCAGCGAGGAGTTCCTCAAAGAAGGGATTGTTCTGCAGGGAGTTGAGGAATGGGTTGGTAGGGGACAAGCATCCGGATTGACTGTCTCCAATAGCGGGAGAGAGGTTAGAGCTTGGCATGCTAGCGAGATGAGCTACAGCAGCAGGAGAAAACTGGGCAGGGGAGCAGGGAGGAAAATGAGAAGGAGCATCTGAGCTGGTTTCTACCTGAGGAGACACTTCCAGGCTGTGGAGGGAAGACAAAACAGTCCTCCTGGTTAATGCTGTGACAGTGCTGTAAAGCATACACCACACACACGACAAACGCTTCGGTTCAAAGCAAGGCAACGCTCAAAGACATCCTCGTCTCTCTCTTGTTAGGCAGAGCGATGATTATGGAGTCAAAAGGCGTGGCAAGGACATGCACGACAAAGAGGAAAGGGCAGCCCTTCTTCTACAACACTCCTCCAAATGTCCCCTTGCTGCCTGGGCAAGCCCTAAGACTCAGGACCCCCACCAGGGGTTTTGCCACCTCCTGCAGCTCAAGGACTTGGCTTGTTTATTGTCCCAAAGGCAGGAGGAGCCAGGCTGGGCTCTTGCATCAGGATTATTTGAGCCACTAATAACACACAGGGGTGAGTCTTTCCCAGTTTAAACCAGTGCCTCGTCACTTGTCACACAACATATCAGGATGACAGTGGATGTGGTGGTCCCTCTTGCACAGGAGGGAGGGTAGAGTGGCTGCGGGTGGCCAAGGAACAAGAGCTGAGCAGGAGGGAGCATGTGGCCACGATGAGGCCCTGGCTCCACCCCTGACTCTGCCCAGTCTCTCTGCATGTCCTTTGTCACCTCACTTGTAGCCTGAGGTCCTGAGATGCCTGAATCCCCATGAGGGACCCAAAGGGGGGAAGAGATTCAGCACAGCTCAAATTCATAGAACCATAGAATTGTTTGGTTGGAAAAGTCCTTTGAGATCATAAAAGTCCAACTGTACCTGTCCACTACTAAACCAGACCTCTGAGCACCACATCTACCCATCTTTTAAATATCTCCAGGGATGGGGACTCCACCACTGCCCTGGACAACCCC